GTACTAACCCGAGAAATGAAATAACAAAAGGAGAAAAACATCCAAACAATGACTTAAACATGAACGTGAAAGAAAGCGTCAAAAGAGAGCCAAAGAAACGGACGAAATCAGTACCAAGTGCCGAGGAACAAAAAATCAAAAAAATAATGGATTCTACTGGTGAAATTAAAGAGAAAAAGGAAGGGAGGAAGGAAAGGGAAGGGAGGAAAAGAACGAAGAAGGAGAAAAGAAGGAAAAAAGGGAAGAAAAGAGCAAAAAAAAAGAAAAAGAAGAGAGGGAGGATACGAGCGAAGAAGAAAGAGAAGAAGGGAGAAAAGAAGGAAAATAACAAAGAAGGGAGAGAAGAAGAGAGAAAGGAAGCGGAGGAAAGAGTTAAGATTCATCCATAGGAAGAATAGATTCTTCGTTATCGGGATAATATCTTGGTGATTCTTCATTATCAGGATTGTCGTTATCAGGATAGTATCTTGGTGATTCTTCATCAATGTAATAATATTCCGCCAATTCATATCCCGCCGATTCATACACTTGTTTAAGAATATTTTCTCTTAATGAATTCTTCTCCTTCTTTTTTTGTTGATAGATTTCGTATCCTTGCTTCTCTGAAATTATTTCCCCCGTTTCTATGATCTTCAGCCAACATTCATATGCAGAGACATTAATTGGCGACGATTTAAAAAAAGCTACATCTAAATTAGGAAATATGTCAACAATGAGAAAATTTTTATTGGAAAGATTTAATAGCCTATCAATTCTTTTTGCTGCTCTGAGAGTGATGGTGAGAGTTGTTAATTTAATTTTTTGTTCGCTATAATCGACAATTTTGGTATTTGTTTGATTTTTTATTGTTTGACTTTTCAATCTGATTTTGTATATGTTACAAAATATTTTGATTTTTTTATAAATCTTTAAAAAATTCAAATAATTACGAAATCCATTTCGTCTATTAATCTCTGCTTCGACATATTCCTGAAGAACATTGTCATAAATTGATATTAATTGAGCGACCAACGCTTTTATTATTTCTTCCTTACTTCGTTCGAAAGAAGATTCCTCCATTTTTAACAAATTTACCTCTGAGGTAATTTCAAAATTATCTTTTAAATTTTCATTATTAGGAGGTAGACCGATTTCTAAGAAATTGTCATTATTATATCTAAGTTCTTCAACAAAAGCTTCTTTTGTTGAAGAACTTTTTAATTTGTTCAACAAAAATTGTACATATGATTCAATTTTTGTGAATTTTGTCGGGTTCATTATAAAAGATTGTTAATCTGGGAGTTTATCTATATTTAGTAATAATTCTCATAGATTCCTTGCCATCGTAATAGCCGGAGATGATAAAAACGGTTTTTGCGCATAACAATGCATAATTAATATATTGTCAAAATGAATAGAATCTTAATGAATTAAAAGTATAAAAAAATTATTAACTTTTTTATTTTTTATTGTGATTGACTGTTTTTTTGAATCAACTTCTTCTTCATCAATTTCATTAAAATCATTTTCTCCAAAAAGAATTCAGAATATTCCAACATCATCATTTTCTAATATAGCGTTTGAATTAGAAATATTAAGTGTTGTAATTCCTAATTCTTTCATCTCTTTAAATGTCTTTGAGGCGAACCTTATTAAATTTTGTTCTTTTAGAAAAATTATTAAGTAAATAAAAAAAAACTTATAATACATAAATAAAAAACATAAATTTATATATCTCATTCATTACATACTAATTTCTTTTAATTTACTTTCTTTGTCGATTGAATCCATTTTTGAGATTTTTGAGGAAAAAATTGAAGGAAGAAAAATTAGTGTTAAAGATGTTAAATCGATAAAAAATTAAAGAAAAAATTAATTATAAGGGTGATTTTTGAGGAAAAAATTAAAGGAAGTTGGAGGAAAAAATTGAAGGAAGAAGAAAAAATTGAAGGAAGTTTGAGGAAAAAATTGAAGGAAGAATGAAGGAAGTTTGAGGAAAAAATTGAAGGAAGAAAAATTAATGTTAAAGATGTTAAATTGATAAAAATCAGAAAAAATTAATTATAAGGGTGTTGAATCGATTTAAAAATCCAGAGAAAAAATTAATTGTAAAGGGTGTCTATTTAATAAACTCGAATTGATCTAAAAAATCAAGGGGGTGTTTTATTTATTAAAATAAATTTAATTACAATCTAATTATGGTCAATAAGGATGTTAAATCGATCTAAAAATTTAGAGAAAAAAATTAATTGTCTCGAATTGATCTAAAAAATCAAAGGGGTGTTTTTATTTATTAAAATAAATTTAAATTACCAATTTAATTATCTAATTATGGTCAATAATACTCTCATATATGTAATATTTATTTTGTGAATATCACAGCGCAAACTGACGGTTTTGCCTTTTAATATACTTATATTGATAGTCTTTTTTACTTATCTTTTTAATTAAATGGCAGAGAAAAAATTTTTTTTTTCCTCTTATTAAAACTTGAATCAAACTTGGATGCAGTGATCCCACTACCCGTGAGAATATCAAGAAAATTCCCTTATATACTAATTTTATTTCATATGATTTTACGATCATCTTTTATTCTCACAAATAAGTATAGAGATATCTTTAAACGTAATTGGTAATGATTCAAACAACAAACAATATCCTTAGTTTCACAAATAAAAATTACATCATCTCCATATGATCTAGCAGGTCGTGCGCAGTTTTTATTCATGTACGATGCCGATCCCTACTGTAAACTGTATAGATAATTTCACGTGATCATATAAAAAATCCATCATAAGTCTGATTTATATCGAAAATTCGCAAGAAATTTCCTTCATACTTGCTTAATTTTAAAGTTCAAAAGTCTGATTTATAAATTAAAAATCACGATCATCAAGAAAAATTCGCGAGAAATTCTTTGATAGAACCTTAATATTAAATTAGCTGAATTAGAATTAAGCAGTATCAAGGAAAATTCTCGCGAATTTTTCTTGA